CCAATTCGAGATTTGATACCAAGACCATGCGTACGATAGTGCGCCACTTGGCCCTACACCAACTTTCCCGAAAAGCTGGTTATTTCGACATTGATGGCATAATGGGCAAATGAAAGTGTCCTTTATGAAGATTGGAAGGATTTCTGTTACTCAGGAACGTTCATGAGTCGAAATCGGGCCATGCAACCCTGAAGGAAATCTTGTCATATGAGCAGAGAGCATCCTTTCCGGAAGAAATGACAAAATCTCATGAGTACGACGTCATCTAGAGCTAATGAACGATGTAAGGAAGATGTTAAGGAAGGAACTGAAGTTCCATAGCAATAAAGGGGTCTCTAGCTGTGCTAAATCGTTGATGTGGGCACTTTTCGTAAGGGGATAGGTTTGCTCTTGTGTGCGATCACTTTTGCAGTGGAAAAGACGTCAGCTACGCTTTTTATGGGCAGAATCACCAAAAATTTTTGAGAAATATTGAAAAAATTCAGGAAATTTCTTGTTCCCACACATAACTTGAAAAAAAAAAGCCTAAATTTCATTCTTCAGGCTTTTCCATGGTATCCCATCAAAGGTGGCATCCAAACCATCTTTGGATTTCAATGATCATATCAGCTTGAAGATAGGAATCATCCTTCCATGTAGGCATTCCTCACCTCTAATTAGATTCGTGCCCTCACATGGGGATTCCTCACAACAATTGCTTGAAAGGTGTAGGAGGGTAGCGATGAAATTTAAAATTTATGGCTTCGGACTGACTGGGAACCGTCAAGCTACGACAATTTTTCTGAAATTACATTCGAATAATGCCGCTATCACCCACATTCTCTAGTAACAGCCAATAAATTGTCACCAGTCTCACCTGGGAGACATCGCGGACTTCTATGTGGGCTGACTTTCGCGCAGTCATTGTATGGATCAAGCAAGCATTCAAACGTTATTACGTTTATGGGAGGATTTTAATGGTCTGGCGCATCCTACGCAACATCGACGTGGAACTTTTCTTTCCTATTATTTTCAATGAAAATCCAAATCTTCACCAAATTCAAGGCAAACCATGATCAGCTCTCCATTAAGCTCGGAATCTCGGACAAGAACTTGACGCGGAAGGTTAGAGTCGTCACTGCTCCGTGGGGTCCCGTTGAGATCATCGACTTCCTTCGAATCTAGCCAGTATTGCTCTTTCAACAATGATGTGAGGGTTCGTTCTTGAACAATCCACTCAAATGTTGCTGAGGTGAGGAAAAGATGTCCTCTACAAAGTTCAGCTTCTTTCCCTCCCGAAAAGCATTTGCTATCCGGGATCCGAAGCTATAGGTTTAGGAATCCGATGCTAGGAGTCAGCCTAACAAAAATCAGCTATGGACTTACAAAAGTTAGATTCTATCTGTATTCCCCCCACGTTTCCTTAAACTCACCTGAGCATTTTCTGGAGAAAACTATGGAAATTGCTAATTTCGTTCGGAAACGTATGAGAAAATGTGAGAAAATGGCTGGATGACAATGTGGGCGCTTTAGTCCTGCTCAATACTCATGCAGGGCTTTTACGGATGCGCCATGCCTTCGATTTCCGTGCGGAATCTTAGAACTATTTGGAAGGCATTCGGCGTGCAGTCTGATTTAACAGATCGATCAAGTTACAAGATCTGGACATACTCTCGTTATATGCTACCAAGAGTATCCATAATATCCAGATATTGATTTTGGGCAAATTTTTAGGGAGACCTCCTAGTTGGCGAATTTTCCAACATTGTGAGGATATATCATAAAAAGAAGCTTACAATCTGTAAAAAAAAAAAACTTCGAAAAGATACGAGCAGTGATGTTCAGGCAGCAAAAGTAGTGATCATTTGCATAGTTTATGCCGAGAACAGGTATAGGAATGGTAGTGCAAAGAGGAAATCGAGAACATATCAACGATCTCTTGAAACAGCCGTTAGAGACTATCATTCGCGCATTTGTGAATGTTTACATTCTCTCGGGAGGAAATGTTTATGCAAAAGCAATCGGAATTGGCTTGATCGCAAAGCTGAACCAGCTTGTGATCGACATGAAAAGAGGAAAAACGGCCTGAAAACGGTGATGCTGGTTACCAACAAAGAGCCCTTCTTACGTTGATAGTAATGAAAGCAGATTGCAACGTTGTTTTCAACGAGTGAACGCCAATCTTCAGAGATACGATCTTCAGACTTTCTCAATAACACTTCATGATTCCTGTTTTCTGCTTCAAAGGTTCCAGGTGCGAGGTGCACCTACCAACCTTGACACAGGATCTTATCAGTACCGCACCGAACCTGCCCAAAGTTCTTCCTGAAAGTAGTCGAGGAAAGCGGGGGGTATGGGGCAGATTAACCTTCGCTTGATCAAAATTGGGTTATCATTAGCTATCATCATAGGGACATCACTGACAAATTAGGAAAAAGCGCAGTTCTATAGTTGTACTTCTACTTGGTGTTCAGTACTGTACAGGGCTTCAGCAAATCTCGGCAAAAAACTTCCGTGTCCCGTCTCTGTTTGAGCTTTCGACCAGAGCGTAATCATCCAAGAAGACCCTTGAAATAATGAAACTTCTAGAGGTAACTCGTCTTCAATAAACGCCAATGGGTGGTCCAAATGATTGGAACCTTCTTCGAATCACAATTCATTATATAAAGGTAATCTCTAACCCTTTGGATTAAGTACTTCCACATGCTGATTCAGAGAATTGTTCTAATGCCAATGCTCTCACTCCCACTAAATTACTCAGACTTTTTCGGGGTCACGTGGTTGAATCAGACTCTCATACAGACTAATTTCAACTGGAGGGCAGATTCCAATAATCTCATAACCCCTAATGAATAATCGTATATGGTGGGATGCCTTAATAGAGCTAATGCAAGAATGAAGGTATCGAAGAGGCCCTCTTAAACAGGAGGCCATGTCAGTATAAGAGGAGTTCAGGGTCGAAAGAAGTTTGTCTGCAACTGTTGTGTGTTCCAAAAATTCTCCGAACAATGAGCAAGGGTTTTCGTCCCAGTTCCGACTGGATGGATGATCACCGATTAGCATAGAGTGAAACTACTTTGAACAGGTTGACCTCGAGAATTGTTCTTGGCCACCTCCATTGGTACCAACTCCTTAGTAAAATTGAACAAGTTCCCCAGTACAAGTGGAAGATACTAAAAATTGTTTGGGGAAGCAGCGGAAGAAAGCGAAAATGAAAGCGAAAGTGAAAAGGAAGATAAATGTTTGAAAAACGATTTTGTTTTGCAACAACAACATTGACAGTTCAGGTTACTCCTCTCAAGTAAATAAAAGTAACTTCCTCAGCTTCCTGTCAAAATGTTCTCCATAATTGAGCGTTTGTGGAAGTCCC